ATTGGTAGGTGAGCAATCCCAGTGAACAGTTCTAGATCAGTTTGCAAAGAGCATTTGGAAGACTAATTTAGAGAAGAGTTGCAATGATGCCTCCTTAGTCACCAAGGAGTTAACAGAGCTTCCCTGGAACTGAAAGCCCCTGGGACAGGCAGGAAAAGAGAATAGTATTTCCTGTAAAGTGGAAACAATGATTTCCCTAGTATGGTTAGGCATGGAGCCAGCTTGACTTAGAGTAGTACAGGTTAGGTAATCCACTGGCAGGGAGCAGCTTTCCTTACCACTCAAGGAGGAGATGACAATGATACTGCCCTGAGACTCCTTCAGCATAGTCATGGCTGAAGCAGTCAGCTGGACATAGCTCAAAAAGTTGACAGTCATGGAGCTGGTCACTTCTGTCATATCTCCCTGAAATGGGCCAAATGAACCAGTTCCTCCAACGTGGTTCAAAACTAGGTAGTCAAGGCCTCCTGGAAAAGGAAAGGAAACATAGATTCAGAGGGAGCATATGGATCTGTTTTGGGGTCAGGATGGTTGGGATACAGTATTCTTCTCTCTAGTCTTCAAGACACCAGCCTGTCCTCTCGATGCCTCAACCTCCCTTGTGCGAGGGAGAAGTGTTTCAGGAAAAGGCAATGCAGAGGGCAGGTGTCAGTAACCCAAGAGAGGTCCCACTTCCCATTTTTTCAGAGGACAGTTGCATTTTGCTATGAACCTGGAAAGCATACCTAGTTTGCTTCCAGCTTCTTCAATGACTTCCTGGGCTGAACTCAAGTTGTTCATGTCGGCCACAACATACCTGGCAGAACTCGCCCCCAGTTCCAAGCACTTCTTTGCCACCTGGAGAGAAAAGAGCAGCCTTCAGCACAGCCAAGGTCAGAGGACTTGGTGCTGCTGCAGGCTACACATAGCAGCTGTTCTGTGGCACAGGGGAGAGCATGCAGCCATTTGCTTTAGTTGGACCCTGGTCAAGGATGAGGCTGGAGCTCATTTAACATGCCAAGGAAGAACTAACTGTATATGAGGAGTTACGCTGGGCAAGAGAGCAAAGAGGTGATGGTCTACAGCAGTATGCTCAAGGCCAAATCCTGGGCTTAAGTGTACACACACAGTTCCTAGGGAGGCTATCGTTTCTAATGGGGTAGCCACTCCGGTGCCCTTTGGTGGTGGGATGGAAAATGATGTTTAAAAGGAACCCAGAGGTTCTGTTTCTTCCCCCACTTTGGGCTGCACTCCCTTGGGGTTCTCACCTCCTTGAGCTGCTTCTCCCTCCGAGCGGTGATGATCAGGTGGGCTCCCATCCTGGCAAACTCGTAGGCTATTTGTTCCCCAATCCCAGTGCTTGAACCTGTGACCAGCACACGCTTCCCTTGCACCATATCTGGAGGTTTAAGAGACTCATCAGGAATTTTGCTCCCTTCCCAGTACTGTGAGCATTGGTGCTGTCATAGCAGTTTGCAGAACCCCAGAACATTCAGCACTGAGTCCTGATTCTCTAAATCTCACAAAAGGAAGAGAAAAAGGGCCTCCTTGTATGTAAAATGGGTGGAGTGGTGCTTTCCTCCTCCAAGAGGGGTCAAAAGTGTCACTTTGCAAAGTACTGAGTGCTAACAAAACTCTTTTAAAACTGGGTAGTAGTAGCCCCTTGGATGTTCTAGGGGCCATTGGTTTTCTGTGTAATTGGACAAATTAGGAGGGGAAGGACCCATTGCCTCATTCTGTTCTGTGGCCAGTGCAGAATAAGGTATGTCTACTGGAGTCCGGTTAAGGCTACCTTTAAATGCCAAAGTGGCAGGCTTTCAAGCACTTTCCTTGGGAGACTTTTCCACAGGCTATCACACCCCCCTGCCTTCCTGGTTTTGCCTGACACTGGCCTCCAAGAAGGATGCCTGCCAATGGATCTGTGAGCATCTGAAGTCCCAGGGTGATGGGTCTGGGATGAAGGATGCTTGCCAGTTGTAGCACCATGCATGGTGTTTGGAACAATTGTGTTCTGTCTGCTCAATCAATATGGTTTTTGG